AAATCTGTTAATAAACTTCACTATGTGGGAAAAGCTTAAAGGACAATTAATATTAATAACCTTTGAAGGTAGACTAAAAGCTATGGATTTGTGAGATTATTTGCAGTTTTGAAAAATTACAATTATGAAACTCATTAAAATATATTTTTTTAAATATTTAGGATTTGACTTTGATGAGGTACAAAATTAGGGAAAAAATATAATTGATTTTCACATTGACAAAGATTAATTTGGCCTTTTTGATGTTGAAATCAACACTTCTAGGAAGCTCTGAGTTTTCCTCAATAACCATTGGACATATAGGCCGGTTTCTGATTTGAACAGTGACATGTATGACTTGAAAAACCTTTTCCCTATAGAGTTGTAATATAACTTAATACTATTATAACAGTGCCCAGATCGTAGTTCTCAAAAATGAAATTTTATAACTGACTTTACTATATGATTGTGAACTGGATCTTGGTGCATTTAGTTTACATACAATTAAGTAAATTCATTTAACCCAGTGACTTCTCAGGTCAGTTCAGGATTATGAAGTTAGTTACAGTCTAGTGTGTGTGTGTGTGTGTGTGTGTGTGTGTGTGTGTGTGTGTGTGTGTGTAACAGGTTATATATATCGCATATGACACCTATTATATATATATATATCAATCACATATATATATGAAGCCACCTCTGATAGTGTTCCTTTTCTACCCTTGATGGGTTGACACCAAAAGTGATGGGGGGAGGATCCCTTATGTGACAGGTAAATCCCTGTGGGAATGGGCAGGAGTGGCTGATCTTATTCATGTGTGATTGGCCACTCATGGTGGCAGAGAAAGGGATCAGTGATCTTTCAATGATCTTTTCATCTGATCTGTCCTGCTCTGACACCAGTGGCTGATGTCCTTGAAGGCTGTTCTCTGTAGCGCTGCTGTATCCACCTCCCTCAGATTGGTGATACTTCTGAGAGATTGTCAGTCATCCAAGCCACACTTGAGTCATTTAGCAGGACCCCACATTTTTTTGACAAACTTTCCCTACCTTGAAGGGCTCTCCTTTTAGTCCTTGACCCTGAACCTACAGGGACTTTTTTAAGCTTTCACTTTAGTGGGGATACAGCATGTCAGGCCCTTCTGCTTACAATTAGGGTGTGTTCTCCTGTATCTTCTCTCTCCTGTCCTCCTCCCCAATCTCCCACACTGAAGGTGGCATAGAGACACTGTCTCCTAGCAACTTTTTTTGTGTGGGGCAGAAGATACTGGTTCAGACAGTTCTACTTGCAGGTCTCCTGGCTGTACAGCTATGCAAACTTGCCTTAAAAAGTAAATGGTCTTTCAAGTTAGGAGCCAAAGAATGCGGTGCTTTTTTCCACTGCTCTCTGGTGATATTCCCCACCCCTACCTCCATCCCAGACAAACAGCAACCCCAGGTCTCTTTCTCTAAAGGAAAGCGACTGTGAATACAATAGGACTTGCTGCTTATAGTCTCAAAGGTCACAGAGAGGAATAAAACACAGTACCTCTCCTCAAGAAGTTTACAATTCAGTTGGAGGGATACAGATATAAATAACTGCAACATAACATAAGCTTCACAAGGGAGGCTTAAGTGATGTGCTATTGGGCTTTATTAGCTAGTTGTGGGGGTCTGTGGAATGCCTGCTGTGAGCTGGATTACATATTCAAAGGAGTCATGGATTGGGTCTCCTAGAAACAGAACCTGAGAGAGAGAGTTGGAAGAGTTGTGGGTGGAAATTTTACTGGGCAAGGGAGGAAGGCAGGACTGGGCAGAGGGAGAAGCTGGCCCACAGTCGTTTCACCTGAGGTTCAGCTGGGCCACAGGGTGCTGTGGAGCTGGGAGAGCTCTTCAGAATTGTCCCACCCTGAAACAAGGGGACAGGCCTTTGTGTTCCTTCATTATGCAGTCAAGGACTGACCTTGAGAGGGGAACCACTTTGAGCGGGGTAGGTCCCTGGGGCCCAGAGCAACGCACGGTGAGGGGCAGAGACATAGGGCCCACTTAAATCCTTCATTTCTATCAGCGAGGGAATGGGTGTGTCAGCCCTGAAGAGGGCGCCAAGGTGGGACACCACAATAGCCACTATAAAAGGGCATGCTCAGCTGAGCTCGGTGGCTCAGCCTGTAATCGCGCGCCTTTGGGAGGCTGAGGTGAGTGGATTGGCGGAGCCCGCGGGTTCGAGACCCGCCTGGGCAGTGAGACCTCATCTCTACAATAAATCAAAAAATCAGCCGGGCGTGGTAGCGCGTGCCTGTAATTCCGGCTACTCGGAAGGCTGAGGCGGAAGGATTGCTGGAGCCCGGCAGGCAAAGCAGCAGTGGCTGAAAGCGGCCAGTGCACTCCAGTCTGGGCGACAGAGTGAGACTCTGACTCAAAAAAAAAAAAAAAAGGGCATGCCCTTCCTGTAATGCAAGAATATACTTCTTCACACATGGCCTTTCCTCTGAACAGCCAAAAGGAGGATTAAGGTTTTGTAACAGAATACCAACATAAAGGAAGAATCTGTATTCAGCTCTTGATTTCCACATGTTTTTGAAACCCCACAGTGAAATAACAGACCTGAAAGCCAGAAGGCAAGTGTTGCTGAAGAACAGGATACTTTGCTAAATTCTGAAAGTACCTTTTTTTATATGAAGAGATAAGCTTGGTAGATTGAGATTATACGATTTTATTTTGTGCCTTAGTATAGCTGATGGAGGACCATTGCTGGAAAGAGAGAGATTAGAGGGAGTGAAGACTAGGGTGAGGATGCTGCTTCACCCTCATCTCACCCCACCCCTAACTCCTGTTTGGAAATCTGAGAAAACATAGCCTCACAGGGTGGCTCCAATATGGAACTAGTGCTAATGACTAGAAATGGTGGGTTGACATATGTGAGTAGCGAGGCAGGCCTGAGAGAGTGCCTCTGATCTCCACTTAATGCCTTCCTGACATGGAAAGGATCTGGAAGTTATTTCCTCATCTCTGGGGAATTCAGAAGATACCTGAAGAGTTTGCCTGAGGGATCGCCAAAGAGACTCTTGTCTGAGGTATGCATGGGAGACCATCCACATCTGGAGTCAAATGACAGTGGCAGCAGACCTCCAAGAGTCTGCAGTGGGTTAAATAACTCGCTTAAGATTATGTAGTTAGTAGAAAACAAGCCTAAATTTAAGACAGGTAGACTGACTTTACAGTCTTTACTATATTGCCTCCCCATTTCTGATACCAGGAAACGACACACGTTGTTCTATTTTAGCTAGACTCTGATATTTTAGGGAAAGTTTGGCTATTTAGTTAAGCTAAAAAGGTAGGTAAGAGTCACTTTGCAAAAGTCTTGAATACAAGGCAGGGAAATTTGCCCAAATTAATTATTTACATTAAAGGTCATAATTGTAGATTTTCTGTTTCTCAATAACAGGAATTCTCTAAATTGGCTTATGTAATTCCTAGCTGAGCAATTGACACAAAATATACTTTTTGAAGCCAAGGACAAGTCTGATTTTACTTTTCCTGAAATTTCATTTGTTCCAAATCATTTGAAGGACAGTATTGATATTATCGCAGTGCAGATTCCCCAGAGAAAGGTAGATTTTAAATTTTGGCAGGGGTCATATAGAAAAAATGATCTGGAAGGCAAGAAGATACAAATTAAAATTATTTGTGTGACATTTAATGTGTGATTCTTGTGGAGCTCAAGAAAAACTTGGTTGGGTTAAGTTTATTGATGTGTCTATAATAATTTTATATTTTGACCATGATCTGCATGTCCTTCATTCTAATTTCTGAATCCAGTCATTTTATGGCCTTCCAGGGAGTAGATGAGCTTGTCAACATTCTTTGAAGAGGTTTCCCTGAAGGAATTTACTAACTAAATCCAAACAGTACATACACACTAGTATTAAATATAATATATGTATACTGGGGTACCTAAAAATGTATACACATTTTTATCTATGTATTACTTTTTGAAGTTGAATTGAATTATGGTAGCAATGTATAGTATGACATTTGCTCAAAAGATGTCATTAATCAAATAAATGCTAGCATCACCAAGTAACAGAACAGTCAAAGAAAATGGCAGAAGCATGGTTGTCGAGGAGTGCAAGACCATTTTGAAGTGGTCTTTGAAATTTGAGAATGTTATGGAAGTACAACGACAATGGAAGCATGAGTACGTGACAGACCCTCCAACACACCTAACAATTGCACGCATTTGTGTTAAATTTGGGATGCATGGTACAGTGTGTGATATGCACAAGTGAGATCCGGGAGGCCTCGCACAGCTACAAGTCCTGCAGTAGTTCACCATAATCGGAAGTGATTGGAAACTGATAATAACCACTCTGAGCACCTCTTGTAATTGCAGAAGTCAAACATGACTTGTGTTCATCTTTTGTTATGGATATATATTGAGTATTATCATTTTAATAGTTTTTTCCTTTCTTAAAATGTGTAAGCTTTTTTTGGTATCTATATGTATATATATATTTGAGACAGGATCCCTGTCGCTTGGGCTGGAGTGCAGTGGCACGATTATGGCTCACCACAGCCTCAAACTCCTGGGATCAAATGATCCGCCTGTCTCAGTCGCCTGAGTAGCTGGGACTACAGGTGCATACCACTACACCAAGCTGAATTTTCCAATTTTTTTGTAGAGATGGATCTTGCTTTGTTGCCCAGGCTGATCTCAAACTCCTTGCCTCAAGTGATCCTCCCACCTCAGTCTCCCAAAGTGCTGGGATTACAGGTGTGAGCTACTGTGTTTAGTTTATAATTGTTTATGTTTTATATATTCTTTATATAGAAGTTCTAGCATTATTTTCAAGATTTTAAGACTATAAAACTTAGATCGAAGATTTGATTAGTCTCAAGACATTTGAACGACTTGTCGATAAATTGCATTTTTTTCATTTTCCTGAAAAATTTCATATGGAATTTAGTATTCAGTACACTGTTTCAAGCATGAATTTAATACATAAGGTGTGATTTATTTACTTTTAGTGTCTTTTTCTCCACAGGATGCTTGCTATTTTGTTAGTGAGCCCTATCTTGAAGCGTTCGAGTTATGAATATAATTGGCGATGGGGAATCATTCTCGCGTGGTCTGGAATCAAAGGAGTTTTCAGTTTACTCTTGGCTCCTGATGTTTATAATCTGTCTGAACACAAAGTAGATGCACCGCAAATGGTAGGAAAAGCAGTGTGTTTAATGACCGTTCGTATTTATTCATCTTTACTTATTTTGTAGCACTTGTCAGAATACACAGCAATAAAGTTAGCCAGTTTGGATTAGATTGTTAAAGCATGTTATTCTGGGCAGGAAAAAACTCAGAAGAAAATGTATTTTTGTGGACAGAAGGGGCCAGGAGCCATGCAGTAGTCATGGACATGGGGGTTGGATGGACCTGGGCTCCAATCCCAACTCCACCACTCACAGGCTGGCTGACTGTGGGAAGTTCTCAGCCTTGCGAAGCCTCAATTTTCAGTTGAGGATAGAGATGATGTTCTGTAAAATGCCTGCCACTTAAAGGTTCAGTATATGTTGTGAAACACATAAGATGCTATGTTCAGTAGCTGTCAGGATTCATGAAAAAATAATATCCTCATCAAGAGCATTCTAATCCCTATAGCTATTAGAACAAAAACCAAAATGCTGGTTAAGTATACCAAGAAAAGAAAGAATTCATAAATGCGAAAGGTCTAGTTATATTTGTGTGTTAAGGACTAATTTTTAAAAATTAATTTCTTCAAAAATTCCAGCTGAAGACTCTGTAGTGAAAAACAAAATTTGGCTTCCTTTTCACTCTTTCTCAAAGCCCCATGGGCTAGCTGGTGGGTCTTTGGGTAGCCTGGTGATGGCAGCATCTGTGACGCTGACTTTCCAGGCAGGAGCCAGAGTCCTGGGAATCTGCTGGCAGCATAGAACACCTTGTCCTTTTGTGGTGGTACTGTGTGAGCTAACTGGAGAAGTTCCTAGAAGTTGCTAAAAATCTCCAGGATTACTCCAAACTCTCAGTCAGATAAACCCTGCACCTGATTCTGGAAGGGAGAAAACCCTTTGGATAATATGTGCTTAAGACTACCTGCCACATACCAAGGAATCCGGAAGTAGATGTACAGAGTTTCCTAATATTGCTTGATTTCCAGCCCAGGATTTTTTCTTTTTACTATTTTGCTCCTGTTTCAGACGGCCCCAAGAGTACCGTATTTTTTGAATACTCCCTTTTTGGGAGCACCTATCCACCTCTTCATCTTGCATGTGGAGAAATCAAAACAAAAAGAGTAGCCTTCTGTATGTAATGTGATAGTGAAAGAACTCAAGTGCCTATCTCCTAAAGGCGGAGGTGCTTTTTGATAGAGGGTCATATTCCTCAGCATATCTCTCCTGAGAATGTGTGTCTGTGGGCATGGTCTGGGCATTAATTTTGAGTTCAAATAAATCTGTGGTTTTGTAAAAACTGAGTCCTTCCATGCTCTGAAGGAAAAGTCTAATGAGCAACACCTGCGCTCCTTCCGTTCTCTTTCCTTTAAGGAATTGACCTAAAACCAAGTCAGCGAGAAGTTAATTAACAGTTGAGCATTGTTTTACAGTGTGCCTAGTTCTGTCTGGTGCTAAGAACCCTAGACCTACAGAATCACACTGCAGGGAAGGGGCGGGGGAGTCAGTATGTTTGACAAGCACTTCAAGTGATTGTTGCTATCAGTCAAGTTTGAAAAACACTGTCTGGAGCAGAAATTGCTATTACCTCCTCTTTTCAGCAAAGGACACTGTGACTTACAGTGGTTAAGTGACCTGGCCCTAGTCACACGTCTATAACATGGCAAAGCCTCCAGTGTGCTTGTCCTTCTGCCTCTGCACAGTACTCTCCAGGCCTCCCCATCGCCCCGGCCAGCTCCTTTGGCGCCTGGTACACAGTGGTGGAAGAGGGTGGCAGCTGCAGGACCCTCTCCTGTCTGGGCTGCCACTGCCTGCTGGTGCTGGCTTTCTCCCCAGCCTACAGGTTCCACAGCCACATCTGTGCAGGCTGTCACCCTGCTGCCTGTGTGTGACAGTGCTGCAATGGCAGCTGTGCAGAGCCCTCCCTCAGGCTCCTTATCACAGAACACACACATCGACTGTCTTCCTCATTCAGACTGAATTAACTTCTGCCCCAGTGCATTCTGTTTCAGCAGTGTCCACAAGTCACATGTTTTTACCTTCACTTATCAGGGGCAGGTTTCAAAAATGTGGATTAAGATAGAATTTTGCTGGTGGTTAGTTAAACAGTGATTACCTTTGAGGAACTTATTTTAATACTTCTAACTATGTGCCTTGTTTTTAGTTCATAGTCTACGTTCAAGTAATATCGTTATTGACAATGGGAATAAATTCATACATGATGACTCAATCAGCCAGGACATTAGGTAAAGTATATGTATCATCATGAGTTAACTGGGGAGAATAATCAAACAAGTTATTTCTGGGGATCATGGAATTCAAGGAGTTGGTTTAGAAATTATTCACTTTCATTCATTCATTCTGTATAGATGCTGTATTAATTGGGATATAGGTTCAGCCAGTTTAACAGAAACCATATGAACAGAGGCTTAAACAACACAGGTTTGTTTTTTGTTTTTTTTTTTGAGTTGGAGTCTCACTCTGTCACCCAGACTGGAGTGCAGTGGCCGCTCCCGGCCATCGCAGCCTTGACCTGCTGGGCTCCGGCAATACTTCCACCTCAGCCTTCCATGTAGCTGGAACTACTGGCGCGCGCTACTACGCCCGGTTAATTTTTGATTTATTGTAGAGATGAGGTCTCGCCAAGTTGTCCAGGCAGGTCTCGAACCCACGGGCTCAGGCAATCCACTCACCTCAGCCTCCCAAAGCACGGGATTACAGGTTGAGCCACCGAGCCCGGCTTGGAGAGTTTTTTTTTTTAAATCCCGTACACCAAAAGGTTGAAAGTGTGAGATGGTTCTGCTCCATGAGGTTGTTTAGAGATCTGGATTCCTTTTCCCTTGTTGCTCCTGGACTCCTTAGCATGTTGCTCTTGTCTGCAGGGCAGAAGCCTGCTCACTACCATGTCTACAACGCAGTTAACTAGAAAGGAGAAATGTGGGGCAGGGGTGTGTGGCAATGGAGGGCGAGCAGCTTTGAAGGGCAAACCCAGAAGTTATAGATGTCATTATCACTCACACCACTAGCCAAAACTTAGTTACATGAGCACACATGGGCGAGGGAAGCGGGGAAATATTCTCTTTTCCTGGATGGCCACGTACTCAACCAAAACCTGAAGAGTCTACTAACAAAAGGAAGACAGAAAATGGATGTTTGGTGACAGCAGCCAGGTTCCTTCTAAGCTGCCTATTTTACAAAAGGAATTTGAGGCTGATTGTAATAAAATGCGTAAATACAATAA